TATCATTGATCTAGGTGTCAATTCACTTGTCAGAAAAACCGCTGAGTTGATGCTCGGCACCTTGCTTTCGGAAAAAATATGTAGCAAATATTAGTACGTTTCTTTCGACGACTGAGACCGCATTTTCAAAGGATTTCCAGTTTGTTTGCAATCCACGTAACCGTTGTGGAGTCACTATGGTAAATAACAGTTGATGCTGATCATCATCAAGAGTAACGGCAGCGACGAAAAAGAAATGCTAGTCCTTTTGATTTAACTGCACGGTACGAGGCGTCTTTGTAGCCGCTAAATGACCAAAAATAACGTCATGGAGTAACAGTCTGAAACTGTCACTCCTGCCCAAGAAAAATGAAAGCAAAAAGAGGAGTAAAGTTGCGCACCTTCACAAGCCAGTCCGCAAATAATGATGTACTACTTCATACACCGAAGTCAAGAATCTACCCTTGAAAACAGTTAGACAACACGTGTACTAGTCCTGTAGTTGTATTGGTACTCACTCGTATGAAGGAGGTGCGCGATCATCCACGAGCCATGGTTCACGTAGGAGAACACTTACTAGGGCGGTAATATTTAAGATGGCGCACTAAACCACTGTATTGGTGGCCAGGATTAACCCTTCTACAAAAAGGTTACCTGCTTGTTTTTGATGATCGATATTAGCTACTTGTATGAAAACATCGGGTGCAAGATGCCCACACTCTAACTAGACGGCTGAAACGCGGCACAAAGAAGTTCGAGGAACGGTGCGGAACATTCAGACTACAATGGCCATTGTATGTTGGAATGAGTGTCCCAATAACGCTCATCATTCTTAAACTGTCTCTATGCACGATCGAATTGTATGGAAAAATAGGGCAAACGACCTGAAGACAACTTATTTAATATCGAAGTGATTGTTTTGTGTTGTCAATGTTGAGATACTAAAGACCGGATGACAGTGATGGCTGCATTGTGCTTTCCGTAAACACAATAAATCGTACGGGCGTTTAGCTTACATCTTCATAAATCTACATGTCTTTATGTCGATTTGTAATTATCATAATTCTAAATATGATCATATATATAAATTAACCTGATTTGCACACAAACCGGGGTATAAAGGCATGCACACCTGACGTGCCTACCCGAATGCACTGTGAAGCAGGACCATACGACTTGACGGTGCCCATGTACCCTTAGTGCCTTCCAACTTTCTAGAAGACGAAGAGATGTTGAAAGTTTAAAATATTGATTTAGTGCATAACTAGCATACATCAACTCATGTTGATGTTCATGGGAATCAATGGCTCATCGAATATTAGAGTTGAAATTCATTCGATTTCCTCAGTGACTTCGTTACGAGGTCAGATAGAGGATCTCGTTGTGTAATTTTCCTCTATCGATATTAAGCGTGTTTTATGGTTAATGATTATTGCTTACTTAAACTCCCGTCATAGGTGTCAGTGTCAAAATAAATATCGACACCGCGTTTATGTAGTTTAGAACGCTTAAAAATGTCTAAATGCTTCGTTTACTTCCGTTAGCTTGATTATTCCCTCACAGGCTAAATTTTGAAACATTCGGTATACCGTAGAGGTTTCCCTTTTTCTATGCTCGCCATCCCTGTTCTCCACATCGAAGTCGTCTGCGACGAGGTTTATCGCGAAATTCCTCATTGTCAACTGAGCGTACGCTTACTTTTGACCTTTTAGTAAGCTTCCGCTGTATTCCTTGCAACCTACGTATCTATTCACTGTTATTGCAGGCTATTTATTCAGCCGCTGCCGCTGCTCTAGTTATGGATGATGGTCGGGCTGTTAGTAGTAATGATGGCGCCATAACAGGATTGTTTGTTTTCGTTGAACTGACGCGGCAACGTTTACAGAACAAAAATAATAAAAAAAAAAAAAAAAGCAGTTGCCGGCGGCAGCAGTAGTAGAGCCATTCATGTGAAGCCGGCAACAAACCCAAGTAGACAGACACATTGGGACTGTTCACGGTGGGCCACTGCAACCGTTTAGAGTGTTATGGGCGATCATGCAACGATTGGATCCGAATAGATGCATGCACACATATATACCCACGTACTATTTCTGCCGCGGCTGCTGTAGCAGTCTTCATAAAATTGTTCAAAGTATCCGATTGTCTGACGATACCCCTCGATTATCTATTGGAATGTCGGTGTTATAAACACTAAGGGTAAATAACCATTTGAAATCGCATGTAAGAGTGTATTTTGTCTATGAAGGGTTCTTAAGCCTGACGAGCTCCTCGCTTACTGTTATTACTTCGGCTGTACAACAGAGGCATGCTTCTTCCCTGGAGTCCTGAATGGTACGAGTGGCATCATCCGGCTGGCGAACCATGTTGCCTAACATAGTTCCCCCGACAAACGGCTTTATACAAATGTGGCGATCACATTGCGTCCATCGCTTTTGGTGCATTTTAGCAGCTCGCTTAATAGTACTTACTTTCGGACAATTTCAAGCATTTGCTGCATTGTTGAATCTCATCGCGTTCGTGAAGAAGAAGCGTTCATACCCACATGGATTACTTACAGCCATATCATAGAGCATCGGAAAATATCCTGCAAACCGCCGCCTGTTGCTATATCCAGTCGCGGCAGTACCGTCGAAGCCGTAGTCGTCTATGACCGGTATCGATGTCATCACTTTGGCGAAAATCAAAAAAAAAAAAAGAAAGCGGACGGGACCAGAAGTCCGGGCCTAGAGCTGCTGGTTACATTACCCTGTTGTTCCTGTCATGGCTTAGTGGTTAGCATATTTGCCCGGTAAGCTCAGGGACACGGTGTAGATTTGAAGAGTAGATGAAACGACATGTATCACAAGCAAGCAATAAATAGCCTGTGACTGTGAGTGCTGTGTTTTTATGGACTGCTAGATGACATAATACGTTGCGTCTCGGTAATAGTAACGAGTCTGCATAGCTATAGTGTAGGGTAATCATAACTAAAGAGTAAACGAAGAGCATCAAGAAGTAGTACAAACGTAGATCCATTCATTGAGCGAGTGGATCACATTTTCAATCGATTGCTTCGCACCGATCGAACGTTATGGGCCGGCAGTTTCTTCCGAAGGTAAACCGGCCTACGAATTTATGTCTCTGTGTAATGTGATGTTTCTCTGTCACAAAGCTGAAAGCATATGCGTATGTGTGTGCACTAATAGGCTATCAATAACTGCTACAGGCAGCTACATCAGCGATGATCGGACATCCTGTTTATAATAGCGGAAAAGAATGGACTGCCGTTTAATAGCACGGATTGAAATCGAAAAATTCGAATTCATTGTGTAGGTATATCGGGGTTGTTTGTGGGTGCGTCCGCCAAAGAAGCACCGCGTGCTGCAGCAGTAGATGCACGGGACGCAATAAACTTTATTGCGTTTGTTTTGTCTGAGCTATAAATAGTCATAATGGTTATTGGAGATTACGTAGCAAATCCATGTTCATAGCAGCTTATTAATTTCGAAAAGTTCGATTAGCGTACCGGGTAGGGATAGCAGTGCTGAGGGGAGGCATCAATAGGACCATTTTTTGTTTTGAACGTAGTCGTACTAGAGTAATTGCATGACAATATGAGAAAATCTGGCAGTATACCTCTTTTGATGTACTCTGTCAGTGCATCCAAACACTCCGTTCAAAAGAACACGTTCAAAAGGAGATTAGGTAAATTCAAAAAGTCTAATCTTTGACAATTTCTTTGCACACTATGAGACGGAAAGCGTGGCCGCGTGGCCGTTATCCTGTGTTGCTTAGCAAGATCAATGTTTCCAAGTAAGTGGCCATCTATCGGCACGAACTACCAGATGCGATGCCACAAAAAAGGGTGGCTTCCGCTACATTTTTAAACCCATCATTACAAAGCCGTCAGACTAGAAATAGTTATCGCTAGCGTATTTTCAGCTGTTCTCAGACAGGAATAAGCGGACAATTAGTATTGTGATAACTATAAATTGCATACGGCCCGTAAACGATCTAATGCAGTTGAGCAAAAAACACTTAACAGTTAATTTCATCCAGTTGACTATTTCAAAAATTAGAATAGACGAGCGTCATCTCCCCTATACTATGATGACATCACGTGGGGTGAACGAAAAAGTTTTTTAAGGCTCTTTTCTGTGAACATATAGTCTGCTTATAAGGATGTCTTTCATTTCGAATATGTATGACTTTATTATATTCTTACCATGGCTAGTTGTGACAATTCCATTTTGGCTTATACAGACATAAACAAACATAAAGCATGTACTTAATGCTTGCGCTCACACAGTTACGTGACGTGCGTTATATATGAATGTCTACAGGAATAGATGTACGGTAAACGTTATCGGATCAAAGTGTCTACCTATGCAGAACACCCACGTACGAATTGCGCTGATAAAGATTTTCGCCATACGCTGATAGTTGAATACGAACGCGTGGTTAATACAGACGGGCGAGTGCGGGCCAGCTAGAGTTAGATCGATCGAGCTAAGATCGTTTGGGCTTGACGTTTATGCAATTGCTACATTCGCTGAAAAGGCGCTTGAAGCGAACATATCGGTAAACGATCCGGGATTGGGCCATATGTGATAATTGTATCCGGATAAAGTACCTGTGTGGGTTACATGGTAGACACTGTAGCCCGCGTAAAGGAACGCTCAATATTCCAAGGTGAAACGATTGAGAAGTATAACAAAAATTAGACTGAGTGGGAAAAGTTGTGCGGTACGAACAACAAGACGAAACAGTTATGACGTGCAGTATGATTGCTACGTGCTGCATGTCCTTATCAGGGCCAAACGTCAAAAGAAAAATTGGCGTTCCTCGTGTAGTAGGCCCTCATGTAGTTCAAGTAACATAAACTCATATCCTTAGTCGCGTTCTTTTTTCGTCCTATAAGTAATTACTAACCATGGTAGGTTCCGCGTAACTAGATGTACGTTACATGTTTAATGGCGTGTATACATCACCAGATTGAAGTGACTAAATTTTTTTACAACGTTTCTCTCTATTTACAGCCAGCAGTTGTTGTTCAATACGACAGAACCGGAAATCTTTCGGCAAGGCGTCACCAGTACACCCCGAGAACCGTTCTGGTTCCTAGGCGCGATTGAAAAAACCAAGGTAGCTTCTAAAAATCTCTCAGCACTCGCGTCAATTACTGAAGCAACAACTAGAGACATCGCTCAAAATCTCAACCTTTCACCTAGAGACGTTACCTTCGGACTTACCAAGGTAACTATCTCGTTACTTCTGGAGTTTTTTTTATCAATACATCGTAGCACACAATTGTCAATGACCAATACTGGATTGTTTATGATTATTGACGTTTTCGGTTATTAGTTTACGTATAGAATGTGATATATCATAGTAACTTGCGATAGTCATCGCTAAAACCGTTCGGCGTAGCAAGCAGTATATAGCTTCATTACATATCTTTATGCACTTTAAATTAAACTTCTTTCCAATCTTATACTTCTTACCAACTCATTGATCTGCTGTAGTAATTGAATCTAGCTTGAGCACTTTAACGTGGCCTTTTGTCCTAACGGTGCAGTGTCCTAACAGGTACAGAGCTAGCAAAATATTGTAACTCTATCTAACCATGACCTAATATGCCTACCAATTCCAATGGTGGTTGCTACATTTGCACAACAGGGTAGGGTGATTAATAGAATTAATAAAGTACCTTGCCGTAGCTGTGTAGTCAACTAAGAAGAAGCATGTATTACAAGGGGGTACTAGAGAATAGGTATAGTTTTCTTTCAGCCTATGCCCAATCAGTCAAATCTGGCCTTTTATCTAAGGCCCACGTAAACAACAAGAAGTTTCATATGTAACCATTTGAAGCACAGTGGCTACGTAATCGTAAAAATAATGAATCGAATTGGCCTTGCAAACCTTTTCAATTCTTGATTCAGCCAATCGAAAACAGCGCGCCAGTTATTCTTTGCACCGGATTTACTAGAATCTCTTGTTCAAGTTAATATGTTAAAATTAATTAACGCGTTTAATTAGCGTACATGTTTGCTTATCTAGTTGATTTCATTTTCTTGTAAGAGAGTCATCAAATATTGGTATACAAATAAAGAACGATGGGTTACTTCACATTCATATGGTACTAAAATGAAAAATACTTTCCAGGTGAATACAAAACGGACGTTTCTGGATCAGAACTGCCCCTATCGTGTGGGAGTTAGGTCGTGTGCCCCTGAACGTTACCGCTCGTATGACGGCTTCTGTAATAACATTGAAAATCCCTACTGGGGTTCCGCTAATCTCCGTTACCTGCGATTTCTTCCACCTGCCTATGCCGACGGTAAGAGCTTTTTAACATCAGAACTATTACTGACGTATAGAAATAAATCACACCCTTTTAAGCCTTTGAACGTTTATAACCGTTAAAACTAAAGTGCACTTTTTTTTTAATTGCTGCCGTCTTTATTACGAGCTACCCACATTAAACTGTATGCCTTTTTCCTACAGAACCAGCAGCTACTTTAATCTATTCCGTAGCCTTGAGTTGTAATTTAATTTTTTTTTTTTCGGACAAACCTGTTCTATAATATCGGATAAGGCTCTATCTGACTCGATCTGAGGGCCAACTAGCGATGCTCGCATGACTTCTCGATGGAATCCCGGTCTTCATGGTTGTTTCATGGTATGAATTGGCCAAGGTCTCGTTTATGTTTCAGGAAAACGGTTGTTGCCGACAATAATATTTCTGTAGAACTTAAAATATTTTTACATAATGGTCCTAGTTTTTAGTTTGTGTTTGCAACCTTAGAAGTTTGTGTTTGTTACACTGTTCTTTAGTTTTAGAAGAGACTAAAAGCGTCTGACGAATTACTTTTTGCCAGCTTCTGAAACAGACAGCTCTAATGGCTTGATGTGTAAATATATGTACATATTTATATATATATATATATATCTCGCAGCGAAAATAATAGCTAACTCAACATTCTCTTTATATTAGGCATACTTCGGATAGGACGTCAGCGATAACACACATATTTAATAGATTTTAATTTAATTTATTTATTATTTACATTATTATATTATTACACTGATTTAATAAGTGTCGAATAGTTGGTTCACTTCTCTTGTTTTGTTGAATTTCTCGTTTATCGTAGCTGGACGAAGTTGCCGAAACGTATGGCATCGTACGAGCACATTAGGAATTCCTCTATGTTCTGATTGTTGTCGCGAGGCCGAGAAACGGGTACATTACTATGAAGACATTGTAACATATCACCTCTTCTATTCTTCATAGCGCAGTAGCGAGAGTGCCTTATGCAATAACCCCAGACTTAATGATTATCGTATTATATTTATCTTATAATGCGAAGCTCGCGCTCACCGCAACAACATTAGTAGCTGACCTTTTTTTCTTTATTCTAGTAATATATGGGGTCTAATGTCCGATACTGTCGTTAAGCACAGCTTCAAACAGTTCATTTTTAGGATGAAATGAATGGATCTTGTTTAGAACCTGGTCCATTTCACTCGTTTCTAAGCAGTAGACAAACACTTTATTATCACGGGGATCACACTTTAGCACTTTTTTTTATTGGGAGGTGACCGTAAAATGCTAACCCGAAGCTTCATTATTATAGTGTTGGCCCGAACTTGTGGCCTTCAGTCATCTGCGTGTCTATCGCGTTCCCACTAAAAAAATCATTTGCACATTAGTTCAATCCTTTTTCACCACTATGACGTTTAGCGCTAACGCTCACCCGAACAACAACAACGGCGCTACACGCACGTCGTCTGCTGTAAACAAGAATCTTTCCATTAAATAGTAGGTTATGTATCACCGCTGAGCGAATATTAAGCACCATGCGTTCGATCGATGCAGGTGTAAGTAAGAGCAAAGCCAAAATAAATGATAGTGATTTCACTGCGGAGATAACAGATCCGATATAAGTACGCGATTGACAACATCGTAGTGTTTAAATAATACCGTATTTTCTGGCAAATTAAACTATGCGATAAAACTTTTGCGACTCACAGTCTGTTTATCTTTGCCTAGTCACACAGGGCGAAGCTTGTTAGAGCGGGCAACGTTACTTCTGTTGCATAATACATCGTTGAAATTTCAACTCTTCTCAAGTCGAATGTAGGAAAAAACCTAAAAACAAACTAGGGTCATTTACAAGAATTATCGAATAATAAGGTCATATAATACTGTGAACGTACTTGCAGTGCAATAGCTTTGCAGGTTCTGGCCGGGGAAGCTTCAGCCAATCATGACAGGCCGGCTAAACAAAGACTTCAATGTCTGGAAGGAAGTTAGTCGTGCTCGCCGTCAGCTACACGAAAATTCAGGCCGATAAGTGTCCATACGCCACAATCATTTGTTTGAAATACCTATCGTTTAGTAGATGAAGATATAGAAATTATACTATTATTAGTTATATAGAATTATTTAATTAAGAATTAGAATGGTTCTACGTATCTAAACACCGCTTCAAACATGCAATAAACATTTAGCGTAGGGGGACTTTTAAAAAGGCTAACATTGGTAAGGCTATTGTGCTGTAAAAAAAGTTCATAGAATTTACCGAGAGACGTGACTGGCGGAGGATACATCCACCAGGCGATGTTAGTAAAAGGCAAACTTTCATTTCTCAAAGGAAAAGTATAGCCATCTAATTGGCAGGCACACACAGCTAACCAAACCTATACGTTGAGATTTCCTAGCACATATGTAACCTGTAAATAATAATCTTACGGGAATGGATACTGGCTTTAATTGACAGCACTGTCATTATAGTAAACTACAGTGTGATTTAACAAATCCTACTTTTGAAATACGATAGACCAATAGGCCTAACTAGTCCTAAAAATACTTCTGAATGACGTCACAAAGGCTCTCCATTTTTACATCCGTACGCCGAATTCGTCTTTGGTCAGATTGACTTTCGGAAAATTGTCTGCGATCGATGGTGGTGTATACGTTCTTTATCGGGGTTGAACAGAAGTTTTGATTAATCTAAGGACACTATATGCTGAACGACATGTGCACTTCAGACTGGGTCTGAATGAAGACGTAAAGCCATTATAAATGAAATGATCTATCTCTAGCCATCGTGACTATCACCACCCATCTGGAGAAATGACATGGCGGAAGTCTGAGCTGGTGTTATATATTCCGGTAGTGTTTTTGCAAATTGAAATAAATAGCTATTATAATACTACTACTGCTTCCACTACCGCAACGATTATCGACGGCTGTACAGAATAATTAAATAACTGCACAACAAACATAATTGTACCTTTTTTACTTTGAGCTAACATATGTACGCGTGTGGTAGCTATCTCATTGGACGTTAACGACTATGTCCAAGAATTATTATACTACAGATGAAAATCGACTCGACCTGCCCGTCTCAATATAGTGGTGCCGTTGCATAGGCCTGATATGCTAAGTCTATCTGTAATTAAACTGCACACAGTCTCCTATGGTATCAACAATCCCACTTCTCACCATTTTCAAATTGATGTTGTTTTTTTTTTCGACTTTCTGTATCTATATGAACCAATTAACTGAGAATAAAAGCTTCACAAAAATATGGGATTGTCTTAGTTCCGCAATCATAACTATATTCAGACGATCCAAAAGAGCTTCATGACAGCCACAAACAATCTTGAATAAGCTACGTAGCTGATACCAGCCTGTATGTCCACCAAAATGTACGAGACGATCTTTTTTCAAACGGCTACTAACAACGCGCCTCAGGTTTGCCATTTATGTCCTTATGGCATGATGAGTAATACGTTCTATCGCAATAGTTGGATTTTGTTAGTTTGTGCCTCCTTCGATTCGTATCAGTCACCGTTTGTCATTTACTTATTTAATTGGTGAATCAGTGAAGTGTTCATGTTATTGTTTATCTGTGTCGGCCATTCGGACGGAATACGTTCATCTTCTTTGCGTTTGACTTTCGTTAACGCCTGCCAACACTTACAATTTCTATCCGCAATGTATCGTTGACATTTGTGTGTTACCTACTGCAGCTTTGATTACCAATGATCATGGCGATATATTCTGATTACTCCTGTGCAATTATAGATGGTCACGTTGAACTAGCTCTTGTGATCTGACCTAATACAATCGTCGGCCGAACGACTAATCTGAGGGGAGACGCCAGCCGCAACGCATAAGAGTTCCCCACTGTGACCAGTATACGAACATATGTGTGTCCTTAGTGTGGTCCATATAGTGCAAAGTACATCTGTTCTTTGTCTGTATTTCGGTAAAAAGTCCATCGATAATAATCGCTCCCGGCTTACGTGCGACCGGTCGTCTATATATAGTTTATAGACAAATAGTTTATCAGGGTGATTGATTAGGTTTGCTTTCTACAGGCACACACGTGAACGTGTCTTATACGTAATACGATGCGTCTTGCTTGTACTCGCCCGTTGATTGAATTCGTAGCTCGTTATAATGATGAGAAGATCTATGGCGACTACAACGAAGCCGATAAAGCAGCATCGATTAGGGATTAGTCACTGCTAACGTTGAGGCAATTTCTCGTCACGATTATCTTCAGCATGTCATTGACCATGTTGAGTGTTTTGCCGTAGCCCGTGCGAAGAATAACAATAGTGACACTGTAGTGACGAGACTTGTCAATTTGGGTTATCGTTAATGATGCAACGTTGAAACTGATCCACTTATTCGATACATAGTATAGAATACATAATGATAGACTGCGGCTTATATTTCTGTTAGTAAGTGTTACACATAGCTGATTAATGCAAAGAAAATAATAATAAAGAAATAATAATAATAAAGAAGATAATCAGATCTTGTTTGACTATTTATGGGAATTTTCGTGGAGCGGCGTGCTTTATGATAACTTCATCGTTCTGAAAAACGAAGCTCTATTGTCCCCCGTCCCCAATCTCCAGTGGGTCAATACAACAACATCAAAAACGTAAATTCTTCATCGTATTTGCCCGCCAGAAAGATCTTGCGGGCCAAAATAAACGTAAATACCATGCATACATATTTTCTAAATAGCGTGTAAGGTCATTTGGTTCGTCCGGTTAATACAAGAGCAAGCCATATCCTACCCTTTAAGCAGGCGGAAGTGATGAGACGGCTAGTAATAGCTTAAGAGCAACAGAGTTATTCACCATTGTATAAATGTACAGCTTCGAAGAAAAAACCGAACAAAGTGATTTGCTTGTCCCGGAAGAATCTGAAGTGACTATTAATAGTAATTTTATACCAGCATACGCGAATATCTCTGCATTGAGGGTGGGCATAAAATCTATCACACACACGTCGAACACATATCGAACTAT